AGACCGAAGTGAAGAGCACACAAGACCGAATCCTCACACAAAGACAAACAAAACCCCTCTCCGCACGACACATACTACTTGGCACACTAATAACAGAAAATGAACCAGGAAGCAGCACGGTGAATAAACAACAAAGACATAGCTAGTAACACACAACATACTAGGGCGGAACCAGAAGAAGCGAAGTAAGGATCAGAACATATGCAGAGTACAAAGGAGTTCAGAGACCAAGCTGAGAAGAGAACGAAAACCCTCCGTCTCTACTAAAAATAGAAAGAAATATAATTGCGTCAACCCAATATATATAGAAAAAAATGAGCCGGCGGTGGTGTCCACTGCCGATGTAGTCCCAGCACTAGGGAGGCCGACGCGCGGGTGGATCGCTGAGGTCAGGAGTTCAAAGACCAGCCTGAGCAAGAGCGAGACCCCCCCGTCTCTACTAAAAATAAAATAATTAATGGTCAACTAATATATATAGAAAAAATAGCCGGCCATGGTGGCGCATGCCTGTAGTCCCAGCTACTCGGAGGAGGCTGAGGCACGAGGATCACTTGAGCCCAGGAGTCTGAGGTTGCTGTGAGCGAGGCTGACGCCACGGCACTCACTGTAGCCCGGGCAACAGAGCGAGACTCTGTCTCAAAAAACGAAAAAAAAAAAAAAAGAAGGAGGAAGAAGGAAGGAAGAGGAGGAAGGAAGGAAGAAGGAAGGAGGCAGGAAGAAGGAAGGAAGGAAGGAGAGTAAAGTGTGGCATCACTTAAGGAGTTCTTACGACCACTCTTGCAATACCTAACATTCTGTGCTTACAAATCAACAGTTCCTTTAGGTAGAGGATAGCTGTTATGGGCTTGCTAAATAAACCACCTTTTTCACATGGAGGTTAATGATTCCATTTGGCATTTTCTTAGGGAAGAGATTTTTACCCAGGCTTCTTTGGTGCAGTTCCTGCCATCCCTAGAACAACCCCCAGTTTTATTCCCAGGGGACCTGGCCCGCGCTCAGAGCCGGCTCTACCAAGTTTAATGCCAAACCCACAGCGCAACACTGACCCCCAGTGGCCAAGGGTGACCGGTCTTCTTAACCCCAGTGGGTGCTTCTCGAGAGAGTTCAATCGTTGCCAATATATTAGCGGAACGGTGAAGCTCATCCTCTTAGCGACTACTCAATAAATTAAACAAATCAACGCCCCTCTGACTCGGTTTTCTTTTTTAGCAACGATGTGTTGATATCACTGTAACAGCAGCGAATTATGCATCTTTGTTGCGCAGGATGCTTGTTAGGGTTCTTTGCAATGAGAGTCGACAAACCAATCCTTTTGGTTGCAACCTTGCTATCGAAAACCTCATTGAAGGTAATCAGTTGCGTGTTTGGCAACCCAGCTGTTTGTGTTAAGTGCTTGTGGCTGGGAGGACCGGGTTTAAACCCTCACTCTGCCACCTAGCAGCACGTTTGACATCAGACACGCCCTTGAAGTTTTTTTTTGGAGTCTTTGCAAAATGCTAAGAAACGTTAGCTTTATGGCAAGGATTAGAGACGCTATGCATCGCATGCCAAGAATGCAGCAGGCGTTTATTTATTGCAGTAACCATTTTTCCCTGGGGGTGCAGAGCAGGAGATGGAGTTGGACGTAGAATGATGCCACGGGCTTTTATTAAACGGTCGGAAAAAAAAAAAAGCAGTTTTTTTTACGTGGTGGGGAGGGAGGAGTGGAGAAGCAGTTCCACCTGGCTACACCTTGTGTTCTTCTTCCATTTTCTCGTTCTAGTCTTTGAGGCCATCCAACCACGCCACCATCCAGAGCATAGTGAGAGCGGTGGGCGTCATCCCCCGGATCCCTGAGCCCTGCTGTGTCCCCGAAAAGATGTCCTCGCTCAGCATCTTATTCTTCGACGAAAACAAGAATGTCGTGCTTAAAGTCTATCCTAACATGACAGTAGAATCCTGTGCTTGCAGATGACCCGGCAACCAACTCAACAGGGGTGCTCCATTCCATCATTAAGTTTGTTTTCATGGACTTTTTTTTTTAATTTAATTTTATTTTTTTGCACTGCCAATGCATTTTGCTCCAAAAGATTTTTTTTTTTCCTTTTTTTCTAGAGTCAGAAGAGAACGAGCAAACAGACCGAAGATTTCTGTCGAGGAGAACTGTGTGGACCTTATTTGCTTCTGAATGTAACTAAAAGCAAGATGTTTGTAAATGTGGACATCTATTTTTCTCTCTCTCTCTTTTTTTTTTTCTTTATTAAATCACACACACAAAAAGTTGTCACTCAGACCGTGGGTAGAGCTGTCGGAGAGCACACGGATTTATTTTTGTGACGGTCTTTGAAAATAGATGGGAAATAGACAGCAATAGCTTATCGTTAATCTCTTCTCGTTTAACGGCTAAAGGGGAGTAGTCATTGCACCTGTTTCAAGCAGGCCCGTTGCCTTAAGATTCCCGAGTTAACCCAGCAAGTGCTAAATAATCCCATCCACTTTGGTGTTTAGCTCCAAAAGCTTTTGAAACTCTTGTTTGCTTTTTTGCTTTTCCTCCGTGAGTCATGGAGTCATGGTGCGAGTTGTGTAGAGAGAGCGTGTGTTGAGTGTCAAAGTATGTGCATGTGCGTGTACATGTGACCAGTGCCTGTCCCCTCCGTAGGAAGCTTTTATACTTCAGTTCACACGGGTTTCTTTGTTGTCGTTGTTTTTTTTTTATATATATATATAATTTCATATCCCGGCAACACCATTTAATGATGAGAACTTCACGGAATTCCTTTTTAAACAACTAACTCTCTGGAATTCAAATTAACGGACTGCCATTGTCCATACGATATTTTTAAAGTCCTTTGTTGTGAGCTATGTAAATAATGCTGGACTTACAGGAATTGGGGTTGTAGACCTTACTTCAACTGGAAAATTGGATCCCTCAGCTCTTTGGAATACAATATTCCAGGTACAGTTTTATATTCGCCCGTCGTGGCTATATTTGTTAAGATAGAATTTTTTTTACCTTAATATTTCTGGAGAAAACTCTTACTTTTCCATCTAATATTTTCCTAGGCAACCATATGTGAGTCATACTATGACCAGTCTGATTTATATATATAAAAAAAAATTTTTTAAATAATTACATTATTCGATTTAGTCTTCCTTTTACTTCTCTGTACTAATAACTAACATCTGAATACTGACTTCTTGTTGAATCGAGGTTGAGTTAGCAACTAGCTACGCACACCTGCTATGTACGGTGATTAAATAAGAAATCTTGGGTACGGCTGACTGACTTGTAGAGCTCTCTCGTTTTTCCCCCTGAGAATGTATCTCAATGTTGCTAAGTGTGTCAAAATGATCCCTTCTTTTTTTTTTTTTTTGCTAAAAACCAGTCCTGCAGCTTTCTACCCTCGTTTCTGTAAATGTTTCAGTTGAGAATTTAATTCTTGTACAGTCAATGGAAATTTTAAAAGAAATATATGTGTATATTATATATGTATATGGAAAAACTTTAAAGATGCTTTTAATTTATTTAACGGCTGTTGTCTTCCTACATGGGTAATAATTTTCGTCCTCGGATGATGAGAAGTACTTTTTACTATGGTGATTGGATGCAAAGCGAAATTTGGTTCTTTGGTCCAATCCGCATGAAGGGTGTACAGGAGGAAAAGCCTGAAGGACATTTCACAACCGATGTATAAGCTTCGCTGAATTTGTATCATTTCCTTCCAGTCATGAAGAGCTATTCGTTACACAGTACGGAAATAAAAATTGCTGAATTGACCAGTTCCCCGTTCTTTTCTCCTTACTGTGAAAGAGTGTGTTTCCCAAAAGCTTTTCGGCTGGGCTGCATTTATTT